AAAAGAAGACATTGTATGTCCGGAAATAATGACGTTAGTACAAATTTCTAACCGAACACGGATAAACGAGTAACGGACCAGACACAACTGCTGATAATTCACAAGTAAATTTTGATTTTTCGTAATTCGATAGAGTTGTACAGAAACCTTTCTACTTGCTCTTAAATACAGTCTCAGTCTCAGTCTCAGCATATCCCGTAACAGTGGACATCCAGTGCTAACTTGTCGATTGCTGATTCGCCAGTTTGTGAAGGGTCACAGGCAATGTCGTTGGCATACTCCGAGTCAAGAGTTTAATCACCTGAATGCGACTCTACATCTTCTAACTGGTTTCCAGTAAACACAAGTTCTGTGTATTGGTCTGATGCGAGGTTAAAAAGGATAGTTGACATTAACTCACACCACTAGTGTTTCGCAAGGTACCCTCCGGTGCCACACCGCATTATCTGCTGAACATGAAGTACTTTCCTTCATTAGACCATGTCCTCCATGTGCCCGCTGATCGTCTTCCTCGGCGTGAATTATCAGCTGCCTAGTTGGACGAACCGTGGATAGGGTTACCCTTACTCATTTCATCAACACACTGGTACTACTGTTGGTATTAACAATAATAATTGCAACCATAGTTTGAGAAGAACGAACAGTGTGTAAACTCGTCATATAATCTAGTTAATGTTTCGAAGAACTTCGCTGATCCCGTAACTGCACCATATCCCATAAGATGTCTAACAGGTGGTGTGGCCGATCCAGATGACCCCATCCGGTTAGCCGACAAGCACCAACACGGTTCCGTCTTTTGGTAGGCTCGTTCACATTCATCTGCATCTCATTGAGGGACTACGTGGGGATTTCTCTCAACTGGATGTAGTATCGGCGAACACACACCAAGGCATCCGGCTCGCTGGGATGCGAAGCACATGCACTGCAGTGAAGCACAGGAGAACCGGTTGCCAGACGTCATCCGACGAACGGAGGTTCGTCCTCCCATCAAATGTGTGAACAGTTCTCCGCAGGAATCACTGAATAGACACGGCCCGTCTCCCTTGGCATCCTTCGGGTGCAACATGCAGATTTCCGATCCATACGCTGGTCGTACCGCTGCTCTGTAAACCGTTTTCTCAACTAATAACTCTGTGAACCGTATGTGCTTTAGCAATGCGTTGAACAACCTCTTCAGTGATGGGGCCGTCAAAGCCGATACCAATACTCGCATAAGGTAATCGATCAACCATTTCGTCAGTTGTTCGGCGATGATGAGAACCCTCTGGTGAGTCGACCCAGCCCATTAACAATAAGTTACGCTTCGAAGGGGCAAAGGCTGGCCATGCAAGGACAATCATTTTCCACTATCTGTCTTTTTGAGGCATCCAGATCGGAGACGGATGTTCGTATGCCTTAGACTGATTTGGCCTTAGGGGTATCACATCTGTCCTTCGCCCCTGTTTCTACTTAGTTTAGTTGCATTCTACTTGTAGCCACACATTTTCCTGGCACAACGACACCAAGTGCGAACATCTACCAGTTTTGTGTCCTTACGACTGTATTCACAATCGTTTTATTCAACAAAGACAGGCAAACAAAAATAACAGCACCTCTGACCTGCAGTACCTCTCTTTGCATACTGTTCGTTTGTTTTCATAAACGACGCTTTTGAGCCGCTCAGGTTCTTTCTTTGACTCAATTCAACATGCGACACGAAACCTCTGCCAATAAGGGGACCAGCGCAGCGCGCACCTTGTGCTCACTGTACCTTGTGAATAAATTCATCAGGTCCATCTTCCCTTGATTACCTGGTTCATTTCTTATGGTCTGTCAAACAGAGCATGTGCTAAAGTGTGCAGCGCTACGCTTCGGCCTGTTTAATTGAACAGCAGCTGAGTGTTGCCATTTGGGTTTACTCGATCCATCGTTCTAGTCAACGTGGTCTAGGCAGAAGCAACTGCTCGTTTTTCTCAGTCCACCTGGTGACTCACAGTCACCTTGCTTGAAACCGTGTGTCGAATATACCGGAACACTATTCGCGGATTCCCGACGGCGCTGGGCTCCTCGATTTTACAGAGCTTTTCAATCCACCAACGCTGCCAGTTGTGTGGCTTTCCATGGCGTTGCGGATACCTTGGGACTGATATGTCGATGAATCCGTCTTTCCTCTTTTTCCTCAGTTATTCTAATGGAGCCCCCAGAAATCCATCCCACCCTTCCGTCTGGGAGGATAAGCGACTTTGAATGCTCATTGGACGCTATTCTGATCCGTATTTGGCCCGTCCACTTTATGCACTAGTGACAGCCGATGTTATAATTCAGACTGCTACCTCTGCCTCGCGGATTGTGAATATACTTTACGGGCGATCATCAGTAAAGATAAACACTTTGCTTTGATTGGAAGAATGCACTTTATGCGGACACTCACATGCGAATCGTCAGCGTCAAGATGAGCGCTGCAGGATGACCAACAATCATGCACTGCTTATGAGTAGACGGATTTGGTAAGATTCATTTGCTTCATCGAAATTAAATTGCAAGCCACTAATTCCTCTACTCATTAGTAGTTAAAAACTATGCACTACCAGTCTTTAAGATGCTGTGTGGGTTCATGGCACTGGACAGGGAGGTCCTAATCCGGACGACCAACCACTGTCCTCTGCACGGGCAGTAACCTTCCTTGCAGGTGAGGATGCATCGGGCTATAAAGCAGTTAGGTTTCAATCCGTGGTGTTCGGCTATCGTCTCCCATGCTTAGTGGCATATGCTGCCGACTAATGCTCCAAGCTACCAGCGAGCAATGGTTCGATCCCCGAAAGGGACCGAGGAAATGCGCACCATTTACGAGCCCCAAAAGGGCGAAACTATAGTCTGCTGCTTTTCCGTGTTGGTAATCGAACTATATGACCTGCAATCCAATTGCGATGAACCAACTATATTTTGCACTGATGTGGAGAATCTACAGCTGTTAGCGATATGGTAAAACGGAGTTCACGGTGGTTTGCTTTCGGATGATTACCATGTAATTCGATTTGAGTAGGTGTTGGAAAGCTTTACTGCTAACCTCGAGCTTGTGTTTAACGCGTATTTGAAAAGGCATACGGTATTTTCTGTACAGCAGACATCAATCTTGAGAGGTTTAGCTAAACGACATACCTGTTCATTCATTTTCTCTGCAATAATCATCATGTCCGCACTTTTGACCACTATAGTAAGAAGAAAGATGCTAACAAATACGTCTTAAGAATTCTGGGCTACAGTCGGTGGGTAAGTAAGCGAAAACAACAAAGATACCTCGTCTTTGACCTCTGCTTGTTGACTTTCATGAATCTTTGAAGACAAACGGCACACTTTTTCCGCTCACCGGTATTCTGCCCAAAATTGCAGCTTCCCCACGTCTGCTAATAGCTGGTCAACCGGTGGAGCTTTTCACCTAATTGTCTGACCCACAAGGCAGAGGGGAGCAGATTCAATTAGCAGGTGTGACTACAGAGTTCCGTAGAGATCTGGTAGAATATTTTGAACAATTCACATGTATTTTTCACATAGTCGATCACAAGCTTGCGACCCGGGCGCTAGTAAACGAATTAATGTTTTGCTTTTTTATCATGACATTAGTTTTTTGTGTAGATTCCCCCTACTACTTACATCATGACATTAGTATTCATTTTTGTCTGTTCACATCACTCCCTTTCCTAATAATGTTGCGTTCGAGGACGGTATTTTGCCTACCTCTCTATTCCGTGCTGCGTTCCATCGGTTCTCTTTTTTGCCGTAGACGAATAATTTCAGGCTGGTCACCATTCCGTCCTCCACGAAATCATCGTTTTGGTTATTACTTTCATTTGCTTTTGGACTAGTTAGCTCTGGGTCATTTGCTTTGTTATCATATATCAATCGGCAGTTTGGGACGACACATTTCTGGGTTTCTTGGGTCCTGCTATGTTGTGTCTGCATTGCCCACTCACAATCTCAATTGGGTATACGATCTACCTATCGGCGAATTTCGTTCGTTCCGATTGCAAAAACTGTGTCCGAATTGGCCGCCTCTTTATTCTGTTACTCGCTTCCAAAACACTATTTTCCAACTGCATTTATCTTTGTCAACAATATCGTTGTGACAGTCATTACTCGCGCAGCCTCGAGGCCTAGTGTTGTGGTTTTCTGCTGGCACCCGCAACGTTTCTGGGTGTAATACCACCCTTCGACCATTTTCGATGAAGCCGTACTTGATTCGAAGTGAGTGCAGCGTTGTGTGAACGAACATCAACGAAAGGGTCTGAAATGTTGTTTCTCATACAGATCTCTGGTTGCGCATATCTGGGTGTCGTTTCAGAGCGGCTACATCACCATGGGGATGAGCTTCCTAATTGCTTTCTTCAACTTTGGTAGACCCTCTTGTAGCTTCACTACCGTTGTCCCCCTAGTTACAAGCTATGGGGCTTGGATTAGGCTTTGAACAAGAAAACCAATTTCCATTACATCACCTTTGGTGGTCTGGTACCGAACGACGTGTGAGAACAAAGTTTCCACCATCTATACCATTTCCCGGCCAAGTTGTCCTCTTGGGCAACAGAAATAATCTAAGGGGCATTCACCATGAGTCTACTCAATTAATTTGTTCCGTGCGTACGCCAGTCACTTGTGCAGGTGTGTATGTGTGCGTGTATAGCCCGTCGCCTTCAGCCAACTGGACCTCAGACGAATTAAGTCATAGGGGTGCAGGTGGGACGCTTCAGCTCCTACGCACGGAACAAACTAATTGAGTAGACTCATATTGAATGCCCCCTCAGATTACTTCTGTTGCCCAAGAGGACAGCTTGGCCGGGAAATGGTGTAGTGATCACCCGTTGATTCGTGGTCCCGACGCGACGCATCTTGCAGATGTCAGCTGTGACTGAATTGTCCACTTAGTTCGATCCTCAGCCAGCACATGTAGTACGAACAGATGTATGGTCAGATTACAAAATTACCACTTCCTTCGCTGTTCACGTAACTACTTTTGTTTACTGTTTCAGGTACTGACAGATACTGTTGTTATGTGATGCGGTTGATCGACAGCTACGTGCCCCCAGCCAATTCCGAGTGAAGAGACGCATCTGCCGACACTCACCAACCCCATGTGTTTGCATTTCGCTCTTTTGGCTCTTTCCAATGCATTTGCCTTATTTCTGTACTGTTCTGTTGTTACTTCGCTGTTGTCCTTCGAAATCGGTGAACACTGATGGTCTATTTTTCACAACGAATTCCCTACTTCTTTGCACACCGTCAGCTATCCGTACGGCCGTTGGTATCGATACAGGTTGATTTGGATTTGCTAGAGTAACTCAGATCCTTTGCCAAACGTGGAACAAGACGAGATTGGGTGCAGGGATTCTCTTGAACTGTCATTTGCGCACAGGGGCAACTTAAATATGGACTAATCCATTAGTCCCGTGTGGTTGATTCGTTGAACTCGTGTCAAATCGAATCGGTTTGCGATCGGCACGCTGAGGTGTCTCATAGCGTCAAAAAGGTTTGAGCAATGAACAGACCATAAGAAATGAACCAGGTAATCAAGGGAAGATGGACCTGATGAATTTATTCACAAGGTACAGTGAGCATAAGGTGCGCGCTGCGCCGGTCCCCTTATTGGCAGAGGTTTCGTGTCGCATGTTGAATTGAGTCAAAGAAAGAACCTGAGCGGCTCAAAAGCGTCGTTTATGAAAACAAACGAACAGTATGCAAAAAGAGGTACTGCAGGTCAGAGGTGCTGTTATTTTTGCTTGCTTGTCTTTGTTGAATAAAACAATTGTGAATACAGTCATAAAGACACAAAAACTGGTAGATGTTCGCACTTGGTGTCGCTGTGCCAGTGCTAATAAAGTGATAGGAAAATGTGTGGCTACAGGTAGAATGTAACCGAAACTAAGTAGAGACAGGGGTGAAGGACAGATGTGACACCCCTAAGGCCAAAGCAGTCTAAGGCATACGAACATCCGTCTCCGATCTGGATGCCTCAAAAAGACAGATAGTGGAAAATGATTGTCCTTGCATGGCCAGCCTTTGCCCCTTCGAAGCGTAACTTATTGTTAATGGGCTGGGTCGACTCACCAGAGGGTTCTCATCATCGCCGAACAACCGACGAAATGGTTGACCGATTACCTTATGCGAGTATTGGTATCGGCTTTGAACGCCACATCACTGAAGAGATTGTTCAACGCATTGCTAAAGCACATACGGTTTACAGGGTTATTAGTTGAGAGAACGGTTTACAGAGCAGCGGTACGACCAGCGTATGGATCAGAAATCTGCGTGTTGCACCCGAAGGTTGCCAAGGCAGACGGGCCGTGTCTATTCAGTGATTCCTGCGGAGAACTGTTCACACATTTGATGGGAGAACGAACCTGCGTTCGTCGGATGACGTCTGGCAACCGGTTCTCCTGTGCTTCACTGCGGTGCATATGCTTCGCATGCCAGCTAGCCGGATGCCTTGGTGTGCGCTCGCCGATACTACATCCAGTTGAGAGAAACCCCCACGTAGTCCCTCAATGTGATGCAGATGAATGTAAACGAGCCTACCGAAAGACGGAGGATAAACCAGTGTAGAATTGATCAAGTGTGTCATCAGGATAACACGTGATCGGACGGTACGTGCTTAGAAAAGTGGGAAACTTACCTCATCCGAATCGTAGGCGAACAGTCAGCAGGTGCTCGCCGAGGCCTGTTGGTTCGCTCTCAAGCTATCCATTATGGAGATCGGATAGTGCAAATCCGACCTCATGTGCACGTGGTGCTGAGGTGTCGTTGCCCACCCAGTAGAAGGTATAATCAGCACCTGTTTCATGCAATTTACCTTGCTAAGCGAGCCGGGTTTCACTGAGCGCCGCGATATCGATGCTGTACCGCACCGATTCCATCGCAACTAGTGCAGTGCCCCGGTCAAGGCGCTCACTCGAGTTCCGGTCCAGTAGTGTGCGCACCTTCCAACTCCCGATGCTGAGAGCTTTGCACGCAGACATACGATTGCAATGGTGGGCAATAGCACGCGTGGTGGTGGTCGTGCTTAGGTTTGCTTGAGATACTCCACCAGAGCCTTTGGCTCAATAGCCTGACCCACAAAGCAGTGGGTGGTTCGGATGTTTGCCTGACAGACTCCACCCGGAGCCTTCGTCTCGATAGTCTAACACACAAGGCAGTGTGGAGCAAATGCTGCTCAGGAATTCGATTGCAACGACAGATGGGGATCTGCTTGACGACCGTCACACACAGCCTTTGAGGTACTGGAACAATTATTATATGTTTTGCGACCGTAGTAGGATACGCACCTGCGACCACGGTCAGACGCAGGTGGGTTTTGGCGGGTTTGCACCAATTTGACCAGGGGCTGCCTGGATTGAGGCGGCCAGTAGCAAAGCAATGAGCACCCGGATTTACCCTCCTACCGTCAGAGACAATGCGTGGCGCTCTTGCTCTATGCCAATCGAGCAGTGAGCTTATAACCAGTGGACCTTTTGTATCCCTTCGCTAGGTTTTACGGGAAGAGGGTCATAGACCACTTCCTAACCTTCGAAGAGGATGGGGTTTGGGCTAGGATACTGGCAGGACGTCCATACCTGACAGGAGAACGACTCGGGTCCTCAGCCAAAGCCTTCCGATTAAATGTACACCCGCAAGGCAGCGGCTCTAGCACATGGTCGGTTCACTAACTCATACGGAATGGTGTTCTGGATCTTAGCAGGGAGAAGGGCGTACCCCAACTCACACCCAGCGGTAGCCATGAGAAGGAGCACAGGCCATGAGCCCATGGCACAACAGTAGCAGCAGTGAGCAGGATCTAGCCATCACTAGCCTCAGCGCAACAAAGGCTATCTCGCTTTATATATATATATATATATATATATATATATATATATATATATATATATATATATTCGGTTGACGGCATCCGGTATCGGATTTGCCTGTCACTGTGGCCAGCCACAGGACGCCTGCGCCTACAGAGGGACCATGGGTGGCTTGCGCTGCACCACCCACAAACCCCATATCCAGTGTAAACCCGAAGGAATAAGACCGGGAGGCATGCGGATGGGAACCACGTTTCATCAACGGAGCCGGCCGACACTCCTTCACAGGCAAACACAAGCACACTGTATTTGGGGAATCAAGAGCACACAAGGCGGTGGTTGGACGGTAGTTCGCTCCACACTGAATGTGTGAAACCACTCTTCGAGCCTAACACGGCCACAAGGACCGTGCACCCCGTCCCCTCCAGCAACAACCAACTGCCTCCTGGAGGCAGTATGAACGAGGTAGTGGATAATAGACAGGTAGGCACCTTGTCAACCTGCACATCAAGCTCAGCCACACCGGGGATGTCAAGCAAGAGGAAGATAAAGAAAATAAATCGAGTAATGCATAAGGAAAGGGTGACATATATCTTAAAGTAATGATCATATGAAGTAAGGTGTTTACAGAAGAATGAGAGATAAGTTCACGAGGTCAGAAAGTATACTTTACGGAAATCCCACAAACACGAAAATGTTATCGAAATTGACTAAAATTGGCTAAAGTGACGTGTGCAAATTTATAGAAGAGAGTACAGATAGTCATTCACATGAGAGAGAAATGCATTAAGATAAAATTGAAAACCCACCACCTAAAGCCAACAGACCTAGCACGCAAGCACGCGGTTGGTAAATCGAATGCAGCGTACCTACAAACGCTAAGCCGGTTCTGCCTACCTTCTCAGCAGGACCCATCGTCGCTTCTGTAGTGGTCCCGAGTGATGTCGCTCATGGCTCACTAGACATCTATATGAGAAAGGCATTAGGACAAAACTGGAAACCCACCACCTGAAATAAAGAGACTTAGCATGCAAGCATATATATATATATATATATATATATATATATATATATATATATATCAGCAGTCAATAAGATACAGAGCCCGCGAAAAGAATGAAATGGAAGTAATAGATACAGAGGCCACAAAGAAAAATGATGGAAGTTACAAAAAGGCTTCTTTGTTGTTGAATCTTGCTAGTACTTTTAGTTTTTTGCACACGTCGGTTAATCTATTTTGTCTGTTTAAAGTTTGCGATATTGATCAAGCAAATCCAGACAAATATTGGTACACATTTTCCATTGGGCCCGGTTCTGCGCCCTGTCCGAAAGAGTTGCCAACCGGCGGTGTTCTTCATTTTTGATCCTTCAGCACGGAAGAGGCACGGGACTTAGGACAGCTAAACAGGAAGTCAGCGCTTTAATCATTTGTCACCACGTGATATGCTGACCACCGCGCGATTTCTTCCAGAGTGGTCCTGTGCGAGCGAACAGAGCGCATCGGGGCGGCCGTTCGCATGGCATGTGTAAAATGCGAACCTGCGGAAGGATCACTGTCGATGCCTTGAACGAGCCAGCCAATCTGACAGCGCATGTTTGGCTGTTCATTGGGATCCGATCGATCAAGGCCGATTCAGTCCGGGGGCTAACAGCTATGCCCACACCGGTTTGATCGGCATTTGAAGCCGCTTCATCTGCGGACAAACGCAATGAAAAAATACCGTCAGTGTCGCACGTTGAGGATCGCAGGATAATTACAGAACTCGAATCTTGCAGGGAAATTTCTGACAAGCAGCAGGCATCGATTGACAGGACCTCCAGTATTTGGACAAGAGCTGTCTGTTGGCCAATTTGCAACAAAATGCGCACATTGAGGTATGCCAATCCTAGGGAGGACCGAGAGCTCCAAATAGAAGCAGATGAACTGACGCTGTCCGCTTGGCTGGACATGAACTTACCGACTGGACCGGAGCGACGCCCTGCGACTGCGTGTGAGTCGAAATTAAAAGACGAACGATTACTGAACAAAGATGGGGAAGGGCCAAGAATTGAGGGATTGAAAACAGGGGGGATAACAGTGAAGTTGGAAAGGGACGATAAAACGCAAGAGGGGGATAAGAAGACAGGAAGGCTTGAGCAGTACCATCCAAACCCCTATCCACCCTGCTCGATGCAGCAGATAGGACGCTGTTTATTATCCTTGCGGTGGCCGAAGTATCAAGAGGTTATTTGGTACAAAAGAGCACATGACAACCCATTTAGTTCGGGTGCACTTTGTATAACTTTTTAAGCATGTAACTAGTCTCAAACTAAATGGCACTACTATGAAGTGATTAGCGCCCGTGGTTCTCGTTAGGGCAGAAAATTGAATACACTGATACATGCTATCAAATGGACCACACCTTAGAGA